TACTCCGGGCCAGGTCCGCCCCGCCTTGAGGCTTTTCCACCCTGACAGTGGCCGGCTTCCCAGAGGCTCCTCATGACAAGAAGCCACTACCATTTTTTGTTTCTGAGACAGCGTTTCAGTACGTAGTTCATGCTGGCCTTGAACCACGGGGGATCACAGGTGTGTGCCAAGGGGCCCAGCACTGCCGGCTCTAATTTCAACGAGCAGGCCTACCATTGAATCCCACTCCACTTTCAAATTTATTCTGGCTTGCACCTAGAAAAGGCTGCAGGACGGCTCTTGCAAAGCTGGGCTAGAAATATTTCACGTTCCAGTCCTCAACAGACAGACCAGCATGGGTCTGAAAGTCCGCTCAGCTTCCTCTCTGTGGCTCTGCTTCCTGCACTTTTATCTTCATTACATACATATATATATGAAAGACAGGATTGTACTGACAGCTGACATCAACCCTGGAAAAGTGTTACAATTTGGGAACCCAGGGCTCAGTCCCTCTTCCTGAACTCCTCACAGCCGCTTTCCTGGGAGGGAACTCATGAGCTATAGTACTTGAGGAGCTCCTCATCCAGAGGCTTCAGGACTTTCTTATCTGCCATATTTACCACCCACCCAGGGGCAAGACCAAAGAAAATCTGCCTCGGATCCTTTCGCGTACACAGCATTCTGAAGAGCTCATCTTTGGTGATGTCAGGCAGAACATAACCGTACTTCCTGGCAAGCTCGAGTCTTGCTTCGGGAAATTTGGCAGGATCCGCCAGGTAACCGCGGTTCTTGGCATCGGTGTAATAGGGCACCAGCTCCTCAGGGGGGAGCATTCGCTTTGGAATAGGTTGTCCACGCAGAAAGAATGGAATGGGTTTGCACAGTATTTCGAGACTTCTCGGATCGTAGGAAGCCATCGTGACCACACCACCGTTTTTCTCAATGGCAGCAATGGCTAGCTCAGAAGCCCACTGGACTTCGATGTTGATCTTCGCCTTAAAGGTGTCAGCGCCCTCCTCCACCAGCTGGACACCGCAGTCCCTCTTCAGTGGCTGGACGGTCACACCTCTCCCGTTGACGAGCTGGGTTAAGTCAATGGGTTCAGTGGGGTCAACGCGGCCCAAATCAATGAGATACTGCAGCCTCCTCAGACTCAAGGGCTGGTACTGACGTCTGAAGCTGTGTCCTTCATTAAACCCGTATTTTGGGATGCGCAGGTAAAACGGCGTCTGCCCGCCCTCGAAGCCCAGTCTGGGCCGGTTTCCCCTTTGCCTTTCTCCTTTGTGGCCTCTGCCGCATTTTCGGCCTCTTCTCCGCCCTCTGCGTCGTCTCTCCAGCTTCCGGGAGCCAGGACTGGGCTGCAGGTTGGCCAGGCTCACGCGCGGCAGCGATCCGAGCAGGCCCAGCGCCCGCGCGCCGCCGCCCCGCAGCGGGCCCGCCATCCCGCGCCGGACCGAGGTTGATTACTTTTAAAATGTACACTGGGTACTGAATACATTTCCTTTTTGACAATACATTTATTTTTTAAATGTCATTTATAAATTGTTTACTATCCCTACCATTTAATTACTGTTTTTAATTGCACAAGTTCTTTCTGAATATCATGTGTAAGTCTTATACAATTAAAATTGCCGCTTGCAGCAGCTGTCTCTTCCTGGTGTCTGATTCTTATCCACATCTCATTAATATTCTTTCCAAATAGAAATGGTGCTTGACTACACAGATGAGAGCCTCGTTTCTGTAGACTTCCTTTTGTAGGCACCCACCCCTGACTGCTCATTAATATTCTCTTCAGAGCATAGCCCTGGAAGAAGTCTGACTGACGCCCAACATTCAGAGGAGGTCACTGTTCAGGGCTGCACGGCAGCTGCTACACTCTTCTAGGAAGTCGTCTGCTTCCCAGTTGGGCAGGGGGCCACTCTCAATATCAGGATCATCTATGGAAGCCAAATTTCTCAGGTGGAGTCCAAATACAGCGAAAGCTGCTGAGAAGGGACTCCTATGACTACAATGTGAAAGAGCTCTGGGAGTTTAGTCCTAGTTTGCTCCCAGGGCAGGGAAGAAGACACACATCGACTTGCCTACCCCTTGGACAGACTATGTCAGAATGAAGAAAATTTAGTGCCATGTTGCGTGAACCTGGGGCTTGGTGTTACTGAGCACCGGCCATATGCCATATCCTTTACATGTGTTATCTCATTTCATTTGATCTTATTCAAGACCACAAAGCAAATTTTATTCTCATCTTACAGAGGAAGAAACAGGATTCAGAGAAGCAACTTGCTTAAAAGCACACAGCTAGCAAGTGGTAGAACTGGGATTTGAAGTGGTCTGATACTCCCACATCCGTGATCTGATGACACATTACACCACAGCTCCCTAATACCTAGGCGTGATGGGGAAGTTTCAAAACTAGAAATGGTAAGGGGCCGAGCCCGATGCCCCAGCCTGGTCCACATCTAAGTCCACTCTTCTTCCCAAGACTTTTTCAACTCAGGTCAACGTACTGGTCCACGATTCACTTAGTGGGTAACATTAGGTAAACCTTGGTGTCATTATCTCTAAAATGCCCTTTTAGTTCATTGGTAAAATAGGTGCTTCATAATTAGTAATGAGAAAAAACCTAATATTTACTAAGTGTCAGATATTGTTTTAATTGTTTTCCATACATTAATCCTTATAATAACACACTCAAAAGCACGGTTATTGTTCTACTTTGTGTTGATAACTAAAATTCAATGAAGAAACTGAGGAGTAGAAAAAGTCAAATGTTATTTCTTACTTATTCTTAAGTTGGATAGGCTAGAAGCAAAATGATCTCTAGCATACAGAGTATAATAGAAAGGCTACTCTAATGTACATGGTATTTCAAGCATTGATTTCTGTTAAATCATCAATAAAAGGAAAGCGTGGGTAGACTTCAAATTTAGCATCCATGAGCTTTGAGTTTGATCCCCAGCACAACAGATAGATAGGTGAATGGATGGATGGATGGATGACAGACAGACAGACAGACAAAGACAAACACAGACACACACACACACGCACACACACACACACACACACACACACACTGGAGAGAAAGAGAAGGAGAGAACATGAATGAATGAAAAATGCCAATTCTGAGAAACTGGTAGTTACTATGAAAGACACTAGACGACACCATTCTGCACCAGAATGCCTAAATACATCAAGGTCTTATAGGACCACATTTTTTTTCCATAAATTTATTGAGAAACAGAGCAATGAGACAGTTTCAAACCAAACTGGTAGGACAGTTTCAATAATTAACATATTGTATACATTCTTCCTAGTGGTTAATTGGTGTACAAGA